GAGGAAGTTTGCTTAAAACCACACCTCTCCCTTTCCGCATTTCTCTGAGGCTGCTGGGACTTCCTTAGCCTTCGTTCAGCCCTTCCCAGGTAATCAGGTTCCCACTCTAGCAATCAAGCTCCCATTATCCAGGGCAGCTAAGACCAGCTAACACTTAAGGGAAAAGCAATTTGATTGAACCAGTTTATGCTGATCTGTGATGCCGTGGAGCAATATTTCAGGAGCACGGGGGAGGGTGTCTCTGAACCGTCACACTCCAGTTGTCTGGTTTGTCCTGGAAAGATGGGGCTTCCAGCCCCTCACCCGTGTACCTAAAAGGAGTCCTAATTATCAGCATAAAGTTGGCCATCCCACTTAGAAGCCCCCTTCCATGATCTCGCAGACATACCCCCACTCACAGCCAGAACTAGCCAGGATCTAATCTGAATTCTTGATAGCACTCCTAAAGCCGTATGACTCCGGAATGCTTGGTCTAATGTTACTTTTTCACTTAATACGTACAAAGACCTGGCTTGTGCATCGAAATGCTACCATTTGCCTCATTCTATTTCCCCCCTATTTTTCGTCTTTCCCCGTTTGGACATTGGAAGCTGTCCCATTTCCAAAAATCGATATCAATTATATCAGAAATTAGCAAAGGCATTCTCAGCTACCTGTGCAAACGTGATCATCAGCCTGACAGCCATGCAGCTGGTCCTACAGACAGGATGACCTGGGAGTGGCTCAGTGGAGCATCCTGACTCCTCAAAATCTGGGAACAGGTCCCTCCACCAACCTTCTGCTGGGACCTTCCTCAGCGTCTAACCGTTTGAAATGCAATGGTTCTGCTAAAACCACGCACAGGACAGATGAAGGGAAAGCTAGTTTGGAGCAAATCAGTGTCACTTTACAAAAGGGGGTCGGGGGGAGGCACTGCATACTTTCTAGACTAGTCCCAGCACCCATGACAGACCCGAAAGAGAGACCCAAGGCCTGTGGTGGGGTCCAGCTGCTTTCGTTCATTTCGTTCAATCCACAGCTATTGGACCACGCCTCCCAAGGACACGCAGTCTGAATCGGCACCCGTCGGGGGCAGGTGCAGGAACAAAGGTGAACCAGAGACAAGCCCTGTCTTCTGGGCTGGGGAGGGAGGCAAGGCATACGCTGGCATCGTGTAGGAAGCAGTAAGCCCAGGGAAAGAGGTACAGAATCATTCGAGACTTCTTCCCACTGAGAGAGTGGGACAGACACAGCCTGAGCTGGACCTAACAAGGCCTGGGATTTATTCACGTAGGCACGAGGGGAAAGAGAGACTCAGGGGGAAGGGACAGAAGGGCACAGGGCAGAGAGAGAGGGTGCTCCTTCCAGCACCGGGTACTGGAGACAGACTAGCATCTCCAGGTGGGAAGCCCAGACCAGGGGACAGGAGGGAGGGGGTGGTGGGGAGGGCTAAGATTCCAGGTGGGCTGCCAAAGCCAAAGGACTCCGTGGGCAGAGAGAACAGGCAGGTCCTGAGGAATGTGCCCCGTTTTCCTGGCTCCTTGGGGACCCCAGGCATTCTAAACAAGAGATGGTGTCGCCTGCCAGCCAGCAGATGTGGCCCATGAATAAACATCCCCTCGGGGCTGGGGGTGGGGGAGGTTGGGGGGGAATAATAAATATGAAGAAAGTGGTGGCCTGCCCCTCCGTGTCCCCTCCCCTGCTCCCAGGGCGGCAGACACGCTCGCTGCCCGAAGGGGCGGACTCAGACGTCCTCACTCCGAGGCCGGGTCGGCCGCACATTAATCCGGGTAGATTTGGCCATCTTGTGACACAGCCAATCAGTTCGAGGGAGGGGACGGCAGGAACGCCTCTCCTTTCACGCCACAAAAGGATTTTCGTCCCTTGAGAGCACAATGAAAAAAAAAAGCCAATCAAGGCGGGATCAGCTGTGGGCTGGTCGCTGCAGATCCGTCTCTCCCAGAGGGGGGTGGGGGGGACATATTGGTCCGTGTGGGAAACCCACAGCCTCCGCTTCTCACACATTGTTCTCCTTCTCTTCAACGGCACCCCCTCCCCACCAGCCCGTACCCTCCCCTCTCCCCTCCCCAAAGCCGTTAATGCCACAAAAGATACTTTCCCCATTGTGCCCGGGACAGCTGAGAGGTCCCAGCGAGCTCCGCACAGCTCTGCGTCCTCTCCAGGGAGAAGGGGCCTGGACCATCCAAATGGAGAACTGGATGCTTATCATACAAAGGAATTAAACCCACTTGGGCTCCCTCCTGCTAATCTGGGGCTGTGGGGGGTTAAATACGGTTACGTTTTCATTAGGTGCTAATAGCAAAAGGGCAGCTCAGGGCAGCAGGGCCCAGACATTGTTATGCAGAAAGTTTCCCCCCAAAGGGTGGGCAGGGCAGGTGGGGTGGGGGGGATCGGAGTGAGCAGCCAGCATTAAATCTTGGTCCAGGGAGAAGGGAGAGGGGGGCATACGCAATGGTGCATTGTTGGTCCAGGGGAGGTCCCATCAATGGGGAAAGTCATGTTTTCTCTGAAGGAAACAAGTTGAAATTGTTGGGGAGGGGAAGGGCTGGTGGGTGGCTGGGGACAGAGCTGGGCTCCTTGTGACTAAGGCCACCTTGTTGTGGGGGGGGGAGTCCTCACCACCAGTTCTACACTGAGGCTTTTCCAGGGCAAGTGGAGGATTCTGGTGCATGTCTAGGAGGTGGTGTGGAGCAGAGGAGGTTTTTGGAATCAGGGAGAATGAATGTAAGCCGTGAGCATCTCTCTCACTGGCCCCACAGCCTGGAGCATCTGTGTGACTCTGAGCCTCGGTTTCTTTTTAGCACAAAATGGAGATGAAACCTACCTCCGTGGATCTGTAAGGGTCCTCAGTGAACTTAAACTAACAGGTATCATTGAAGGGCTCAAAAAGGGGAAAGCCTTTATCCTCTTACCCAGCAGCCCCGTTCGCAATGACCCTTAAAGAGAAATTTTAAAAGGCAAAGTGAAAGGATGCCGGCTTTGATACTGCAGGCTAATGTCCCTTCACCCCGTGCAGTGTTCCAGCCTCCTCAACCTGGGAGCAAACTCCTCCTGTCTTCTCTTCAGTCTCCTCCAAAGCTTGGTCTGGACCTCAGCTTGACCACAGTGTCTTCTCGCTTTGACATCAGCCCGTTCAGACATTCCAGTGTCCCAACCCTGAAAACTTTGTGCCAAAATAAATCAACAGGTAAGCTCATGATTTATTTTCTGGTTTGCCTTGCTCCGTGTGGGGGCTTATTAACACGCTGTCATGAGGACATTACTGTGGGAAGGCAGTGCAAGAAGGACTGCATGGGGCTGCTGAGAGGTATGCAGAAGGCCAGAGAGTGAACCTTGGCTCGTTCAAGTCTGGAGCCCGTGGTTCTCCATCATTCCCCACGGCAGCCCGGATGCCCAGGATCTCAGGATTCAATCTCAAGCTAAATGACAAGGTGGTGGATAAAGGACTGCCGAATCAAAGATACTAACGATCCTTTCTACATCGCAAATGACAGGAAAATATATGTGTCAGCAGCACGAATTCAGCAGAGGCCAAATTTGTATTGACATTTGACTTTCGGACCCAGTGGGGTCTGGGAGGGGACAGCACCCTTTCACATGTAGTGATGTAGTGATGTCACAGCCGGCTTCTCTCACTTTCTCTCCGGCACAGACCTCTGCATACAGTGGTCCTGGATCCGCATGGAATGCCTGATTGCTTCTGGTGAGGTTTCAGGCTCCACAAGACTGCTTTTCAACGAGAAAGAAGTGCCAGGTCAGAATAATTGATGCCATGAGTTCCGAGACCGGTTCCAGAGTCTCTCCACACTGGCTCGTGGAAAAAAAAAAAATTCAGCTGGGGCGTCTGTGTGGCTGGGGTGGGTGAAGCAGTGGTTCCCTAAACTGGCTGGGAGTGCCTCGGTTGCTGCTAACATTTGTCTCACCCTGACTGAGGTCCTCAAGGCATGTTTACTTCACAGAAAGCAGTCTGAGAATCCCAGGGATAACGTATGCATCTGCAGCGAGACCTCTGGGGTGAGAAATGAGATTATGCTCCAATCCAGGGAGCGTCCATAAGACCTCTTCACTGCGGACTCATCACCAGGGGTCTGAGACCTAAAGTCTTGGATAAGCTTACCTTCACCAAATAGCACATGTAGGTTTTGATCTCTTAATGAATGTCAAGGGTTCACACCAAAGAATTTGGAGGAAACAAAGCACTGGGGCAAAATGAAGTTTCTAACGTCAACCTGGACTTTCCCCACCCCAACCGGTTCATAAAATTAGAATTCAAAATCTTTTCCAGGTGCAATGGTAGATCCCTTTAGAGGAAACTGCTTCCCTGAGCCAACAGTGCTCAGAAATTACAACCGGTTTCAGCAATTAAGAGAAGTAAAACATTAAAAAGCATGAGGCAAAGTGCATTTGCATGCTAATCGCCCCTTCTGTAGTGCTGGGAAGCTGTGTTTTACAACAAAGCAGATAACTTTCCCACTAGGGCCATATTAACCCTTGGGTTCTCACTCCAGCTCCGTGGCACCCCGTTCTCCTGTCTAGAATTCTTCTGGCCCCGGCTGGGGAAGATATGGGTTAACTCTGCATATCCATCCATCCTCTGTGGCCAAATTTTCTCTGGTTTGGGTAGGAAAAGGAAAAGAAAGAGACTTAAAAGTTTTGGTTGTCTTTCAGGGTAGAGAGAGGAGGGTGGGGAGATGCACTGGGGGTGAAAAAGAACATTCCCCTAGAAAACACACTGGGAGGGGCTGGGCACAGCGTCTGTGTCCAGTGAGACTTGAATTTGAATCTGGCTACACCTCTTCCAAGTGATGTGACATTGGACAAGTTACTTAAATTCTGGGAGACCTAGTTTGCTTCTGGAAGAAGATGGAAGGAGAATTAAATAAGGCAATGAGGGTAGCACGTCTATGCCCCTGGTGACTATCACGGTTTGGGGACCATGGGGATGTTATGAGGACCTTTTGGTTACAACGCCATGAAAAACTCTCTGGCCTTATTGACAATGGAAAGCAGTCCTTTTTTGCCTCATGAAGAAAGTTAATCTTTGGAATAAAGGCAGATTATGTATAAAGACTCTTTTGATCTCTTTCCAAGGTGGAGGCCACCAGTGTTTCGGATTCCATCAAAGTGGCAGCCCTTGAGAACATACCACAGGCCCCCGAGAACAAGGAGAAAACTCTCCTATCAGAAAAAGACAAGGTAGCAGGGCACAGAGCTTGGGTTTTGGAGCTGGGTAGACCTGGACTTGAGATCCACTTGCTTTGAAACTACCTGGCTGTGTTACTTTCAACAAATTTCTCAACCTCTCTGTGCCTCCGTTTCCCACTGTGAAATGAGGATGATACAATCTCACACATTTGAGGTAAAGTTTCTGTGAGTAAGAACCTCAACACGCCAGTTATTAAGGGATAGTTCTCATTTCTGTTTTAACAGTGCATCTCCCCTTGTCCTTCCTCATGACACAGGGAGGAAGCAATGCCCAAAGGATGTCATGTCTTAGATTTCAAGCCAAGCCACTGAAACCAAGTAAAGATGAAGAAAGAGAAGTTTCTGTTTGTACACCTATGTCCTTGTCACTCACCACCGTTCAGCTGATGGGAAAGAGAGGCCACCGGAAGGAAAGGCAAGTTCATCAAGGGCTGGCAAAATATTAATCTGGGAGCTCACGGATGGGCAGCGATGCGCGCTCCCCGGCAGCAGGCGTTCCGTTCCTGTTCAGGCTACCTGTGGGCTGCGAGAGCCCACCACCCCACCCTTGCACCGTGGCCACACCGTGACCCGCCATTCATCCCCTGCTCCAGACCGACTCCCAGACTGCTTTCCAAGACAGGGCTTGGGAGGGGAGCAGAGAGACAGAAAGTGGGCTGGAGGAGAGGAGAGAGAGCTCTGACTCGGCAGACCACCCTTTCCTCTAAAAAGATGCTTTCCATCCCACTAGTTGGATGGTTTTTAACCACGACTGTGCACAGAATTGCGGAGAAGCTTTAAAAAATTATACTGGGGCTCTACCCGCCTTTGGTTATGATTCAGTTTTTTCTGGGGTAAGCCTTGAACATGGGTATTTTTAAATAGCTCTTCAATGATGCTGATACATAGCCAGACTTGAGAACCATTGTCCCACTTGGAAAACCCACCTGGAGTGTCCCCTCCCGCCCTCTTACCTTACAGGATGTGTTTGATCTGCCACAGTGCTCCTTGCGATTGGCTGATGTTAGGATTTCCCACAGGGCTTTTTAAAAATGAGGATGTCTGGAACCAGCCCCCAGAATTTCTGATTTAATTGGCTGGAAGTGGGCCACAGGCGTCAAAGATATACCTCCACAAGCTTATAATTCCATACATACAGGATTACTCACTGCGGCGTAATTTGTAATCATGAAGACTGGGGACAACCCAAATGATGATCTGTGAGATTCATTAAATAAACTCTGGTCCAACTTCAGCCTAGAATAGTATGCATCTGTTCAAAAAGAATGAGAAAGATTCTCTGCACTGATATGGAAAGACCACTACGATATATAAAAAGGAAAAAAAAAGCAACAGACAGAACAGTGTTTATAGGGCACTATTATTTGTATAAGAAGAAGGGAGAAAAATCAAGAATATACTTTCAAACTGCTTGCATTTGCATAAAAAAGTCCTGGAAGAACACACAGGAGAATAATAAACATGGTGACTACGGGAGGTGGGGGGTGACAGACTGTTGAGGGACGTGGATGAGACAGAGACTTTTATAGGGTCTTGACCACTGAAACATACAAGTGAACAGAAGTTCCCCATAGACCCTGCACCCGGTTTCTGCTATTACTAACACCATTCATGAGTGCGGTATATTTGTAACAACTCACGAACAAAAATCCTGATCAATTATTCTTACCTAAAGGCCAGACGTTGTATTTTCTTGGTTTCCCTCTCATGTCCTTTTTCTGTTCCAGGATCCCACCTGGGACGTCACAACAAGTTTAGTTATCACGTCTCTTTAGACTCATTTTGGCTGCAATCATTTCTCAGACTTACTTTCCCCATCTGTGATGACCTAGACAGTTTAGAAGGACACCGGACACGCACTTTGCTGAATGTCTCTCAGTTGGGATTTGCGTAATCATTATTATCTTTTCATGCCTAGACTGGGGTAACGGGTTTCGGGAAGGAAGACCACAGATGTCAGGTGCCATTCTCACCCCATCGTATCGAGGGCACCTGCTTACTACCCACGAGATGGATCACGGTTGGTGTCAGCCTGGGTCACCTGGCTGTGGCGGGGTTTGCCAGGTTTCTCCAATGGAAAGTTCTTCTTTTTTTTTTTTTTTTCTCCTCCCTTTCCACATTGTACTCTTTGGAAGAAAGTCACCATGTGTGGCACATGCTTAAGGGGCGGAGTAGCTACAGGCATTATTTAGAATTCTTCTGCATAAGACATTTGTCTGTTCACTTTTTTCTTTTTTTTTAATTAAAGTGCAGTCAGTTACATGTGTCAATTTCTGGTGTAAGGCACAGTGTCCCAGTCATGCATGTACATACATATATTCATTTTCATATTCTTTTCATTAAAGGCTATTAGAAGATACTGAACATAGTTCCCTGTGCTATATACAGAAGGAAATTTTTAAAAAACTATTTATGTATATAGTGGCTAACGTTTGCTAAATCTCAGACCCCCAAATG